AGTTCGCTCTCTGTGGCTATGCACTTTAGACCTGTATTCCAGTGTGTACAATTCATGCAAATCAGGCTCCTGCTCAGCCACCCCCCTGTCCCTCTGCTCAAGAGATTTACTTAAAATGAGATTGATCTATTTCCCATTTGAGCTTCATTTTAAAACCCGTCTACTTACACCGTGTGCTCTAGGTGCACTCAAAGATTGGTGGTCACACAATAATGAGTTTCATAACAGCTTGATCGTCTCATACTTGACCTTGAGCTTCTGTACTAGGACAAACTAAGCCTTTTCTGAGTAAAGAACAAGGAGATGAGAATCTTTATTTCATGTTTTTCTCTACTCGTAATTATACATTTAGAATTGTATGGGTCTGGAATTATTCTTCTATTGAGCTAGCAGTGACGAGGTCAATGACCTGCTTGATTTCCTGTATGTCGGAACTGAAAGCCGATGCAGTCTTGTAGTTTAAAACAAAAAGAAGGAGTTGCCTTTGTGATTTCCACAGGAAAAAGGTGCAATGTGGCGTGCTTACACTTTTTTTCTTTTTATTTAGGTCTTTTATAGTTAATTTAACACTTTTGGCTTGGTCTCCTGCATGCCCTTCAGATACCTTTATGAACATGAGACATCTTGTGCAGCACAAGTCCTACTCTGGTTGACTTTTCTCACTAAATCGGGAGCAAGTCTGAATCTGTGAAAACATTGTTTCTTGGAGTTTGTAGCTTAGGTGTTCAATTTAAACATTTTTCTTGATCTTTCCTAATTGCATGACTCTGCGTTTCCGTTTTCTCCTCCACTGTGTTTCATCTCCATTGTTGTTTCTGTGCAAGAGTGCTGGATATCATGCAGATCTCTCCACTGCATTACTGTCGGGAGTTTACCTAGTTGCTTTATTGTAAGCAGCTACTAAAGAGTAGTGAATTTATTTCCTTTTTTAATTCAGAATTGCTGATTTTTCTTATACCCAACACATTTAGAGGCAACATTTGTTCAGGACTCTTCTTGTGCCTGCAATTCCTGTACTGTACAAAGAGAATGAGGACTTGCAGACATCCTACTCCAACACCTTTCAAATTGGCAGGGCCATCTGTCTTTTGACACAGTGCAAGCAAGCACTGTTTCTTACAGGGGGGTTAGCACAGGCTGATGTCACTGATGATGGGCTGATGCCTGCAGGTGACCAGGAAGCCCAAGGAGAAGACTCAGACTACTTAATGGTCACGCTGCACTGCAACACAAATACACTACTCCTTTAAGATATGATCTTTTTGTAAAAAAAAAGTATTTTGTGGTACCCGAGAGAGCACTGTACCCATTTATTGGAAGTCTTGTGTAGAATTTGTCGGAACCTTAATTAGCAACAGGCTTAACTAGAAACAGTGCTTGTGCAACATCCCAGTAAACAAAAACAGCAACACCCTTCAAAGACAGGACTGAGCTGGAACCAGGCAAGCAGTGTGGCAATGTGTCGTGTGGTTTCTGCATACAGTAGCATACACACCAGTAACAGCTACAGTCACGTGCAGTTCATCTTAACTGATTTGTCGTAAGTCCGAGGAGAAGATTTACAAAGCGTATATATCATTTTGAAAGGAGAAGGCGGAATGAGCATATTAGCAGGAGAACCCTAATTAGCCCTCCTACATGTTCTAGTTGTAGTGGTTTCCTGTGTTTTTGCAGTTTATTTGCAAATTTTCATTGTATCATTTAAGTTAAGGGGGAAAAAATGATCAAAACAACGTTAGCAAGAGCTGGGGAAAATATCCCGTCATCTTAAATTCTATCAACAATTAATGCTACAGACAGTTGCTGCATCATACCAGTTATTCAACTTTTACAGTGAATTAACTTTTCGAATGGAGTGGTTTTTTAACTGGTTATTTATAAAACCTGCATCAAAATTATTTAACCTACATACAGTGCATTAATGGCCTTTATGCTTTATGAAGCATAGTGTAATTGTAATATTCATTAATGATAAGCATCTCTTCATCAGCATTCTTTATTAGATACAGAGTTTCCCTAATGCCTAGCATGGCGGTGCTAATTGTGATTGCGATAGGGACTTTAATCCAATAATGGCTCTTCAGAGGGCGAGAGTGATGCTCTGTGTTTACTCTGATGTTTTGCGAGACCCATCTTAATAAAAGCTTTTAAGTAACTGGCATTCTCACTAATCATGGTGCATCTGGTCTCTGGGCTCCCCATTCTGAGGAATATAATGCTATTACTGTAGCTGGGAGAGATCTCTGTCACCATCTGTCCTGCAAAGCTGTAGTTGGGGAGGATGGAACAGAGTGACTCCAGTGCTGAAGGAATGCCCGGCTTCCCTCTCCAAGAGCACTGCTTACAGTATGCACAGGATGCTTAATGAATAATAAACCAGTTATTGCAGGAGCAGTACAGCAATTGGGGTCATAGCCTGAGAATCGTTTCTAGACTTTCTCTGGTTTCTTTTTTTTCCTGTCCTGAAGATAATTGGAATGTGTGCCTGTGAGCAAAACGAATGTTACTGTCTGCTGAGTGGGTTTCAATGGGGTGGGAGACTGGGAGGATCTTCAGCATCTGCTGTAAAGCCTGTTTACCTTCAACGGATGAGGGAAACACACATTTCTAAAGCAATTTATAACCTCCTGCAGCAATTAAGGAGTCCTGTAAAACCGTTGTTAAACACTTACTGAAACTGGGGTTTCTGATGTTTGCACCAAATTCAAAGCAAAGAGTTTTGTTTCCCTTAGCAAAATCAATAATGTTTAACCCTTTTGAAAGATTTATCACCGTTGGTTTGCATCATATTTTTTTTCGTAGTTGCAGTGTGCCAAACATTCACAAACAAACCCTTTCTTTTGATTTATGACATGTTTTATCATACTGCTTTATGACATAGCAAATAGCTTAGTTTCAGTTTCCCTTAAAGCAATTTTTGTTATCTAATGTGCTGTGTTACAGTCCGTTTTTATAAAGGTCCTGCAAATATAAATACGAAATAGTTGTGTATGTAAATACTCACGAATGAAATCTTGTCTGCCTGTTTGCAACATATCCTACAGTATAAGTGTTTAGTTAACAGCTTTTTACTGCTATTCTGCTTTCAGAGCTTGTGACATGGAGCAGTCTCGAGTGAGAGGCTGGAGCAAACCTAAAACAAAGTGGTGTTTACAGTATCTGTCAGCTCATCCAATTCCTTAAGACACCTTTACCAAATTATTGTAGTTAAAGGGAAGTTGCAAAACTCTTGCTTTTGAACTTTCCCCACCAATGGATTAATGTCCGTAGTTAGACTCTCCACCTGCTATGTGTCTCTGAATTGGCAGTCTTTTCGATTTCGCTTATTTCAGAATGCCACAGCAGAGTGGTGTCGACAAGTGACTTATCTTTTGTCAGGAAGCTGCTGACTCCCAGGAGTTTGAAAACCCATCTGGCCTTCACCCTGATCTAGTGTTTCACCCGGATGTTTGCCAGAAACTTTTGAGATTGATCGGGCAGGACTGCAGGTTCCTGTAGCTGCTTCTCTGTGGCGCAAAATCCACAGCTCCAGCCTGACGCTCTGGTGGCACAGGAACCATGTGTGGCTCTCTTATCAGTCACTGCCTTTGTGTCTTAATCAGTGATCTGTTGATGCAGCTTCTAGATTTCCTGGCCAGATAGCATATACAATATCCATTGCCATTTTTCCTAGGCAGGTCAGGTTGCTTGGATGCCTGCCAAACAAAGTCTTTCCCTGAAAATTAAATTACAGAATTGCGGACCATAAACCATATTAAATGCTTTTGAGTCATAAATATTTCACCATCCTGCATTTTTTCTCCGGGATAAAGTGCAGGCAGAAGTGGTTTGCCAAGATGCAGAAGAGACACAGCTGTGCACAAACAGATTTTCATGTAGTGTTTTTTTTTTTTTGGTCCTCCACTCGCTTATGCTGTTAAACACGGTACGAGTGTGTTAGTGGAATTTTTTTTTTTGTCTTCCAATGTGCGCGAAAAACAGTTTGCTCCGTATAAGTTATTCATAGCAACGTGTCAGAAGCAAGTTTTGTGGAGCGTGATTTTGTGATGCTATTTTCAACCACGTGCACTCTACTGCATTAAGCTAGCACAGTACAGCGCATGAAAGATGATTACCAGCAAATGCGTTTTGACCCACATGACTTCTGTAAATGTGTTGCTGTATGTGCAAATTACATTTCCATCACTTCTTCAGCAAAATAAAAACTCCAGCTGGACGACAGCTACAGTGTTAAAATGTTTCGGAGATCTAAGATACAGAAGGATGCTATAAATATGCAGCAGCAGTTGCTTCTGCTTCTTGCTTTTTATCTTTAAAGTTTTTCTGCTTATTTGGCATTGAGTTTCAGTGTATTCAGGGCTTGACAGAGGATCGTACACTTCTTACAGCATGTCACGTCAGTAAAGTACATGAAATCATTAGGCCTTAAGGAAGCTTTTACATCTCACCGTGTACCATTAGCTGTTGTCTGCTGTTTTCATATGAACTTTTACAGTGGAGAACATGTCTGACAAAATCACCGGTATCCTTTCAGTTTTCTTTATGATTGTCTTTCCTCCCCGGTCAAAGGTTGACAACAACTGACAGTTGCTTTTTAAGGTTATGTTTATTATCTCTACATTTTTTACGTCTTACCAGTTCCTGGTCAAGATATACAGTAAAGCCATTTTCCTTCAACGGTTTTCTTATTTTTGAAGTTTATTTTGCTCTTGCCTCATGTGCGGGTTTCAGTTTGTGGTTTATATTTTCTGGGACTGAAGAAAGGGAGATGGTTGTGAAGGATTAGTCAAGATGTCTGGAAAGGCACAAGTGAGTGTGCGCCTTGGAAAGATTTCTCAGTTAAGACTGTCTACAATAGTTGGAACTAACTTTACCAGATACCAGGATGAGGTGAGAGACGCACTCTCAATGCCCTGTGGAGATCAGGGAATGTGTGAGGGAGTTGGTCTTCTGGTGATGCCTGCAGTGACGATTGCTCTTCCCTGGGCTTTCCATTGCAGAAGAAGAGCCGTGAGGAAACATGCGGTGAGGGCAGTGGGGTGGAGATCCTGGAGAACCGGCCCTACACAGACGGTCCTGGTGGCTCCGGACAGTACACTCACAAAGTCTACCACATCGGCATGCACATCCCCAGCTGGTTCCGCTCCATCCTTCCCAAGGCTGCTCTGAGAGTGGAGGAGGAGTCCTGGAATGCCTATCCCTACACCAGAACAAGGTGAGAACAGAAAACGCAAAAAACAAACCTGAAGGTTCCTGGTCCGTGTAACTTGGGAAGATGCAAAGCATGGTGCGTGTACCCTTTGAAGGTGCAAAATGCCTGGTGTATGTGTCCGTTGAGGGTGCAAAACGTCCGGTGTATATGTTGATTGAGGGTGCAAAAAGCCTGGTGCGTGTACCCTTTGAAGGTGCAAACAGCCCAGTGTATGTGCCCATTGAAGGTGCAAAAAGCCTGGTGCTGTGTCCATTGGAGGTGCAAAAAGCCTGGTGCTGTGTCCATTCAAGGTGTAAACAGCCCAGTGTATGTGTCCATTGGAGGTATTCATTGAATTTTGATATACTGTACCACTTGTACTGAGAGTCTGAAAGCAATTTCATAGTTACTGTCATGGGGGCAAGTGCTACAACGAAATACAATGTCAGTCAGTAGTGCAGCAGCAGACATAGCAGGTAAACTGTGGAGTGTGGTTATAGGAAGGCATCTACTTCCACCAGTTAATGAAGGGGGAAAGTTAGTCATTGGTGTGCCTTATAAGAACTGGTAGCTATACCTGATAGATGGTACCCATCATCACTGCATCAGTCAGCTGACCTATAACTACTTTTCAACAGGAGGCATTGAATATTTTATTATTTGATTATATCCGCTACTCTTTTGCTTGGATGTGGGCATTCTAATGAGCTGTGTGTTCGTATTTGTAAAGATAAGGAGACAAAAAGATACAATGATACAGTGTTGACGAACAGTTTTTTCCAGCAACAAGGACCTGAGAAGAGATTTTGTCTGTCCCTCCAGACTTTGTGTTGCGCCTGTGTGCTTGCTTAGTGTATGAAGCTGTACAGGGACATGTGAGAATCTGTCAGACTGTTGTATTTCCGTTCTGTGGGCTTCTGTGAGCACATGTCCCAGGAGGCATACTGAGATATTGCCTTGAGCCGCGCTAAACAAGTGAGATTTTGTCCTCAAGCTACGAATCTGTGCCTCATCAACATTGCTTATGTCTCCAGTCCACGTTATTTTTACACCTTTGTTTATGTATTTGTTAAAAACCCATTAGAAAGAAAAAAAGGCTGAATTCTCATCACTTAGATTACTCTTCATAGTTTAGAGGGAAAAAAACAACTTGATTGGAGAACACTCTGAACTGCTTGCCTGTTGCTTTTTTAATTTAAAAGACAAGAATGAAAGGTTCCTTAACTGCTGTTCTTCTGGGATCGTATCTGGCCCCTGTGGATGTTTTATACGCTTTTATTAAAATTAACGGTGAGCATAAAAAATGAAAGTTGAATCTGTTTCCAGTTGCAACTCTCTCAGCCACATTCTTCAACTCTGAACAACCAAAGAGAGCCAGTTCAGAATCTGGGGGTGTATTCTTCCCAAGAAATTTTGGGTCCCACTAAAATGTTTCAGAATTATGTAACGCAGACTGAAGAGGTGTGTGAGAGAGCCGTCAGAAGACGTGCGTCCTCTGAATGAAATCCGTGGTATCTCTTGGTGTGGGGTGCTGTGGGCTCTGGACAGAACGCCTGTCGAACACATGCTCCTTTTGTCAAGCCATCGTTGTGGAAAGGAAGCGGGACGGAGGAAGGGGTGGGTGACAGGCTTATCAGAGAGGGGCAGCAGCTCCAGCTGAAGATTCTGATAAAGTCTCCTGTTAGCAGCCTGGCACTTCAGCTGTGGCTGAGTGCTCCTCTGAGACAGGAGATTGCTCGTTCCATTCTGGTCTTCTATACTGACCCCCCAAAAAACCCCTGATTATCCAGAGCACTCTGGATAATCAGAAAACAGGAATGGTCCGATTTCCAAAAACAAAAACAAAACGTTAGTTAAACACATAACTTGCGGGGTTGATGCGGGCTAAAATTCAATTCACTGCGTTTAAAGACCAGGGACACCCTGAGAAGTTAATTTATGTGTTCATAACTTACAGCATTGATTGTTTTTAATTGTTTGTGGTTGTGTTTTGATTCCTTCATGACAAAATGTCCAAAGGGCCTCCTGAGGTGAACAGACTGGGTACACTGGGCAGTCATGCTTGCGAGTCTCCACAGCCCTGCTGTTTTTACCACACCGCAGCAAAGATGAGCAGACCTTACAAGACCACTGACAAATAGGCTGGAACCAGAAATGTCTATATTCCTTTATTTCAGGATGTAACACCCCGTTGACAAAAAATCTTTTTCAAAAGAGACAAAAGTGGTTCGGCTGTATGCTTTCGTTTTTCACCCTTTCCTCTTGTAAATGATGTGTACGTTTTGTGTTGATAAATAAAAATGGTTATTTTATATTAGTTATATTATTGTATTAATAAATAATAGTCCAATCTGTCCATCTCAATTCATTGCATCTCATTTCAAAGCATCCTTGAAAACTGTGTTTCTGAACCCGAGCTGTAAACAACAACAAATGAAACCATCGCAGCAACGATTCTTAACCTTTCTGAAGTCATCTAGAAGCCGGATTCCAGAAGTACTTGTCATTCGTGGTTAACATGAGTATTTCTAGCTGTTCTGCTTGACGTTCTGTGTAGAGATGCTTCTTAAGGCTAGTGCAGACCCAGACCTCTCCAGCCTAGGTGAGAGACTTTCAGGGCAAGCAGGCCTAAGGATCCAGCTCATCTGGGAGACTCGCCCAGCAGCTTCTCTTAAACGTGGAGCAGCTGTTTGGAGAGGTGGTTAGGACTCTGTTCTGTGGTCCAGAGATTCAGGAGTCCTAATCCAAGGCAGGATGCTGCTCTTGTATTCTTTCACAAGGTACTTCACTCAGATTGCTCCAGCAAATGCCCTGCTGTCTAAATGGGTACCCTCCAGGTCACCACTGTAAATGAGAATTTGTTCTCAATTGATCCATATGGTTATATAAAGGATTTGAAAAAAGAAAGGCTTTCACAGATCAATCAGACAGCAACCCACCCGTCTCACCTGCTAAATTAAAGAGATGTGACACAGCCAGCGCTGGCCCCCACATTTCAAACAGCACATTACAATAAGAGTGCATCTTCAGGGAAGAGAGAGATGCAGCCTCCTGTCGGAGATAATTGTCTCCAGCACTTGACCTTGGGCCTTCCCAGTATCAAGTGCAGCTTTCACAGATTAATAATCACCTTAGAACTCAGGGACAGATTACACACGCAAGCACTCTTTTGTCTCAGTTTAGTCTAGTGCTGTGTGAATAGGATAAGCTATGAAGAGGGTGTACGATAGAGAGTTTTCTTTTTTCTCTCTTTGTGGATCATGAGGTAGCTCAGAACTTTGTATCATGTTACTTTTTTGTAATATCAGACTAAACTCCGTTTTGAATTAAATGCATAAATGCTAAACAAAGGCACTGTTATTTATTTTTACCTTGATCAGGTTAGGCAGGTTTTGTTTCTGCACACAGATCGCAGAATCATGACCAGTAGCAGCAGTTAGTACTAGTTACAGAAACCCAGCTGATCTCCCTAACCATTTTGCAAGAATGCAAGAATGGCAACACTGATGGCTTTCTGAGATGAGCAACACTTGCCTAGAAGAGCAAGAGTCTATGAAGGTAGACCTCAGGAAAGGGGGGTTATAGTGATGTTTTGTGATACTGTTGATTGAAATGACACATTTAGGAAGTTCAGACGGGCAGTAATTTGTTTTACAGATTATATACAGCTGCGTGCACAGAGAAGCATTCCTTGTGCTATTCTCAGGCTCGGCTGTGTGCTTCTGTTTTTCAGGTATACCTGCCCTTTTGTGGAGAAGTTCTCTATCGATATTGAAACTTATTACAAACCAGACCCCGGAGACCAGGTGGATGTTTTCAACTTGTTGTCTGCAGAGAGGAGGCAGAGGGTTCTAGGTACGTTAATCTTGTCTGACTCAACACCTTCTGGATTCCTTCTCCATGCTTTTGTTGTAGTTATATCTAGATTTAGATATTTTTTTTTGCTTCCAGTGTTTGTGGAATTTATTATCAACCTATGAAGGAAAAATGCTTTGACCTTTATCAGCGTGTCATAATAAAACTCTTTAAACTACACAGGCCATATTGCACGTTGGACTGTACATAGTGCTTAGCTAAACAGTTGAAGTTCTGAAGTGACTTACAGAGTGTAATCGACAATACAGTGACTTTTCTGGCTTTGACCAATCCAGTTTTATTTTGTCTACAGCCCCAGTGCCCCCTGTGTGGAGGTAAAATGGTTTTGAACCTGTTTGGTGTAAATCTTTCACAAGGCCACGGGGTTAGGGCTCACCTGCAGACAGGTTTTCCATTTAGCGTCGGGGATAAAGGCTCCTTCTCTCCCTCTGATAATAGGAAGATGGCTAAAATTGAGGTTAAGAGGCCACTTCATTAAGTGAGAGCAAGGGCCCTCAGCACACAATCACGCAGCTCCTTCACATCAGATTAGTTGTAGTTGCTGTCTGGACCCAGACATAACGCTGTTCTAAGAGCAATCATGTCACCAAATAAATGCCTCATTTGGATCTTCTCATGAAATGAATTGGAAGCTGAGGTGACAGGGACTAGCTACAGTATTTTCTACTTGTATTCTTTATATTGTCACTGAAGTGTACAGCTGTGTTACTTCAACGTTAACTCAAGGAATACATCAGGCAGAATTCACCTCATTCACTGCCAGTAAAACACAAGGGTACACGTTGAAATAAATTAACTAAATATTCAGAGTTCTGTGGTTTGTCTAGAAATTAAAAAAGAAAAATGTGGCTTCAGTATGTCTGGCTAACGGTTCTATATAAAAAAACAATGTCTGTTATTTTTAACTTAATTGTTTCACAAGAATATAATGAGAATAAACTGAGATCCAAACAAGTAAATGATTTAACTAAAGGCTGACACAGCCGTGGTACCAATTGCAGTGTTTAAAGGCTCTTTCTCTGTTTGCTCTTAACAGTGACACACACAGCAGTGGCTGCTAAAGTTTAACATACCCTCTGGTTTATAATTTTATATAGGTTTCATCACCCAGCAACACAGCTGTTATGTTTAACCATGCAGACACACCACATGGTTGGGGGGTTTTGCTTTCCTTTATCAGAGATACCCAGAGGGTCCTGTTAGCGAAATGGTGATGTTTCTCTGGAGAGGAGCTCAGCATGTCTTTGCCTCTGATTCAGAGAAGCCTCTTCCAGAATTCTTAAAGATACGTTGGCAGTTTGTGTAGCAGTGACGAACAGAGCAGCAGGGTCTTTTTCACCTTTCTGTTACATGAGCTGTGCTGGCACCCTCTTCAATCTGGACCACAAACATTTAACATGATGCTTTTTTCATGAAATGGGCACAGGAAAGCTCACTAGGGGCAGTCTTCAATTGCATACAGTATAAAACAGTGACATATTACCTGACCTTTAAATAGATAATTATTCAAAGCAGTCTTAGGGCAAACAGTAGTGTAATTGTATGTAAATTAGAGTAATTCTAAAAAGATTAACACAATGCTTTAGCTGTAAAACCTTCTTAAGTTTTGTCTTAAGTCTTCACAGCCGAAACATTGGGTTTTACTC